TTGAGATTATTTGGGAGATCATTAATATAAAGCAGGAATAGAAGTGGGCCTAAAATAGACCCTTGAGGGACTCCACAAACGAGATTTCTAGGTGTTGACATCATGCCATTGACAAAACACACTTGTTCCCTATTAGAAATGTAGGATTCAAACCATTTTAATTCGATATTTAAAACTCCAAATTGTTCTTTCATTTTACGCAATAAAATATTATGGTTAATTGAGTCAAACGCTTTCCGAATATCAAGAAAAACAAGACCGTTCAAGTCTCCATTATCCATGTTAGTGTACCACGCATCGCACATTTGAATAAGTGCAGACAAAGTTGAGTTCTTTGGACGGAAGCCGGATTGATACTTAGAAAGCAGGGAGTTTTCATTTAGATATTTGTATAATTGGTTGAAGAGTAAACGTTCAAAGATTTTACTTATAATTGGTAGAATGGAAATTGGACGATAATTTTCGCATTTTTGTCTGTCTTCAGATTTATATATCGGTAAAACCCAAGCCTTTCTCCATTCTTCCACATAAATTCCAGTTTTAATTGATAAATTAAATATCCACGTTAGTGACGGACTAATTATTTCAGCAGCAATTTTAAGTGCTCTCGCTGGAATTGTATCAATACCTGTTGATTTTGATGTTTTAAGATTGCGTAATTGAAGACACACTTCGTGTGTACTTATTTCAGAGAACTTAAACTGAATATCTGGCCTAGAAGGAACACTTTGTAATGAAGTGAAATCAGTGGAATTGATCTCGATTTCGTTAGCTAGTTTAGGTCCGATATTCACAAAAAAATCATTAAAGGACTCGGCTATCTTTATGTCGTCAGAAATAATAACGTCTTCAACTTTAAGTTGAGAAATATTATTTGATTTATTATTTTTGCCTAAAAGATTGTTTATTAATTTCCAACTTTGCTTAGGGCCCTTTACCCTGACACAATCTTTGATTTTATTGCAAAAGTAGTTCTTTTTAGCCTTCTTTAATTCAGAATTGACTTTATTCCTAATTGCTCTAAACTTGATCCAGTGCATGTTCGAATTATTTTTTACGGCCTTCTTTTTGTGAAAATCTCTCTCTCGCATTAACTCCTTTACTTTCGAGGTAATCCATGGGAGAGAATTGCCACGAACTCTCATACGCCTCAGCGGCGCATGCAGATCCAATACTTGCAAAAAATGTGACCGCCATAATTGATATGAAATATTGGGATCGTCGTAAAATGTCACATTGTCCCACGGAATTTGTGAGAGATCATTGACAAAGTCAGTTTCACTAAATTTTTTTAAGTTACGAGCATACTTAACATTTTGTCTTAAAATGTTTTCTGACCACAAAAATTAAACTGTGATCAGATAAACCTAGATGAAGTACTCCGGATTTTACAATATTTTGTTTCTTATTCGTGATTGCCAGATCGATCAAAGTTGCTGACGTTCTAGTTACCCTAGTGGGTTTATCAATTATCTGATCAAATTGATAAAGTGACAATAGGAATTTTAACCTACGCGTGTGCGCATCGGAATGAGATTTATTTACATCACAGTTTCAATCTCCAACAAGTATTAATTCTTTATTCTCAAAATCACAGTTTCTGAGGAAAGCTTCAAAGTCATTAAACACCTGAAGATTTGTATTAGGAGGTCTATACCATGTACTTACTAGGAAAGATTTACTACATGGTCTGCTGATTTCCACACAAACCATTTCTAAAGTGTCTGCTAGTAAGTCATTCCGTTCCGTAAATGGTATAGAGTCACGAACATACAAAAGTACACCGCCTCCATGTCTATTACGATCTTTGCGAATTACATGGTATCCTAAAACATTGATTTCATTTTCAGAAAATGAGCCATCAATTTTGGTTTCATTAAATGCTAAAATATCTATAGGGCTATTCTGCATCATAATTCGAAGCTCATCAATATGCTTTGTAAGACTATTAACATTTAAGCATGCAATCCTAATACCTTTACAATTTTTAAATAATTTAATAATGAGCTATCTGATTTTTTACTTATTTTATGGCCATTAGAAGTAGAAACTGGGTCCGAATCACACCGTGAATTTATCGTTGAATTTTGCGAGAGTTCCCCACGAGTATCGCTTTCAGCATGTCCCCTATTTGACTGATTGTTGCCATACGAAAATCCTTCTCAGAACGAGTCGTGTCTTGAACAACACGGGGTTGATTTCCTCTCAGAAAGGTAATAAAATGTGAGGCCAGGACTGCTGAACCTTTGCCGTTAAGATGTAGATTGCTCCCATTTAAACATGTGTGATCAATGGAAGAGTTATCAATGAACATAACATCGTGCTTTGCAGCCATTTCTTCGAGTTTCTTGTTGACTTCCTGTATTTTAGTTGCTTGTTCTATATCCTGTCTAAACGTGATTCCAGATAAACCAACTTTTGAATTAGGGAATTTTGCTTTGGTTTTGATAACAAGCCTTTCTAATTTCTTCGAACATACTTTGGTTGAGTCTATCGGAATGTTGTTTGTCCCAGCGTGAACAATTACGTGGGAGGGAGATGATTGAATATTAATAATGTTAAGTTCCTTTTCAATATCATGATTCTTGGAGATTGAGTGCATGCGCTATAGCAAATTTGCCTTGACGCTGACCAAATTGATTACTTGCTTGATTACTTATCTACGTTGCTGAGCTAAAGACGTTGGCCCAAGACATGTAATTTTTGCAACTGTTTACGAGATAGCCTCATACGGGATCGTGTAGTTCTCGGGATTAGAAATGAACAATCAACGGAAAAGCTGCTTAGAATGCGAGATCAGACTCTGAGTAAATGTATTGATAGTTGATACGTATCGAAGTGAAGTGATTACTGAAATGCAAATGAATCAATGAGAGAAACATCTAATGACTATGCTAATAAGATCAAGACACAAAGAAGGCGGCGGTACAAAGAATCATAATCGGGCGGTTCAGGGGACAATGAATTAATGGAAACGAAGTCAGTCAAGAAGAAAATATCGTCTAAATTTTGCCGTTTTGAGCACTTTCCAGATGTAAGCGAACGTGTCCAGCCTGTGGAAAAACCTACAACAAATGCAAAAAAAAAGAATTATTTTGCCATGAGATGTTGAAAGCCCTCCGTATATTGCATAGAAAGTGGGGAGGAAGAAATTAGCATCGTGAGAATTCAAGCTATGAAAGAGAAAGCTGTATTTGCGAAGATTTTGGTCAACGACGTTCATGTAAATTTCCAAGTCGACTGTGGCGCCATCGCGAACATACTTCCATACAAGTATGTGAAAAAGGAAAAGATTTTTCCATGTGATAGAACACTAGTCATGTGGAACGGTACCAAAGTGAAACCTTTGGGAATATGTGTCGTTCGGGTGATAATTTAAGAAATCAGAAGAAGTATGAAGTGAAGTTCTTGATCTTCAAGGATGACCCTGACTCTGTTGTTAGGTTTGAAGGCCACTGCAGAAGAGATGAAGCTGTTGACGATTCACAAAGAAAACTTCATCAGCACTGTGTTTTGTAAGAAAACGGAAGTGGTAGAAAAGCTGAAGTTTTTAACTACGATTTGAAAAGATTGCCAGTAATAGTCCATATAGAAGTAGACTCAAAACACAAACCAGTCGTAATACCAAAGCGGAAAATCCCCCGTGTCAGTGAGAAACCAATTCAAAGTCGAGCTACAGCGATTAGAGAGACTGGTAATCTTCACACCTGTTGAAGAACCGACCTAGTGGGTGAGTCAAATTGTCGTTACTATGAAGAAGTCTCGTGCATTGCGCGTATGCATAGATCCAAAGCCACTGAACGTAGCCCTAAAGAGAGAGCGGTATCTAATTACTGTCATAGGTGATTGACTACCTGATTTGTCAGAGGCTCGTGTATTTTCCAAGATTGATCTGGCATCCGTGTTTTGGCATTAGGAATTAGACGAAGGGTCAAGCAAGCTGACAACGTTTTCTACCCCCTACGGAAGATTCCGGTGGTTGCGCCTGTGATATATGCCAGAAACGTTAAAACGTCTCAACCAAGAGCTCCTGGGACTGGAAGAAGTGAAGTGTATCGCAGATGTTTACGGTACCAACGAGAAAGATCATGACCAAAACTTCGAGAGGCTGCTGCAGCGGTGTTAAGAAAAGAGCATTAAGTTGACCAAGGATAAATTAGAGTACAAGTGGAAAAAGGTCTCATTCCATGGTCATCTTCTCAGCAGTGAAGGTTTGAAAGTTGATCCAGGTAAAGAGGAGGAGATTATGGAGACGCCACGACCAACCACTCCTGAAGAAATGCATTCGGATGACCACATTCTGCACTCCCAAAACGGTCTGATTGCTGTCGCATTGGTTTTCAAGACATTGTGATGCATATGGCTTCTAGTACGCGAGGATTGGGGTCGTTTGCGATTAGATGCTGCACATTATTCTATGCTTTCTAGTGTATTTACAACCAGCACCACGCCGACTCTTTGTGTGCTCAGGTGCGTTAATGCATGACTGGGTCAAAAAGTTATTAGTTTCCAGTGCTTTTTGGCAAAGTAGCGAAATTAGGCGTACAATTTCCGTCTTTTTTTCGAACATGGCGTCGATGAGAGTGGTATTTATTTCATATATGATATAAATTCGAAGATTTTGGAAAGAAACTGTTTCTGTATTAATACCGATCGTGGTTATAGTTTGTTTAAAGGTTTGTATTTTATTTATTGGTACTGTTTGCCTAGTGTAACATTTAAGGCTTTGTAGTTGCGCTTTGTTTTATATTATATTTTATAGGCACTATGAAAAATTCCATAATACTGTCATTGAAAGTCATATTAGGAAGGATTCTAGATTGTGTTTATGCTAATTCTAACAATGGCCGTAGCCCAAATTCCCTGGTCGCTAGTAAACAGATTTACTCACAAAATTCTCGGAGTAAATCATATGTCTTACCTGCTGAGAGTTGCACTTTAAAGTGAGCCAACGAGATGTCCTGATACATTCCATATAAACATATAAATTTAATAGTGACAGCAAGCTAGTTTCTAAAATCCATTCCAATGCATTCTATAATTTTTACCAAGAACCAAGCACAAGACTGTGGAGACAAGAACGCTTGTTATGGCCTAGCCTGCAAGCAGACGTTCTTGTTGTGCGACGACTACTCGCTTGCCTCCTCTTTCTTCCCCCAAAGACAGTTGTGTTTACAGGCTAGTTATGGCCTTGTCTCCACTTGTTTTAATACATTTAATTGAAGAATCAATTTCAAATGATACAAATATTTACATCTTAATATGGTTGGCATATATTCACTCGTTCTGGTGCTCTTTATTAAAATATGTAGGACTTCCAGGTCCTAAGAATGTCGAGAGCCTACCTACATTTCAGTACTATTCAAACCTATTTCATGTTCCATTAGATCTGGATAGCTATTCAATATATACTGTGTATATCCATATTTAACCCATTGAGCCGCAATGCACTGCAGTGCGTCCTACTTATATTTTTAAACTTGTCTAATGCCAGATTATTTTACATGCCATTGAGCCGCAATGCGCCCCTCTGTGCCCTACCTTCTTTTACTTGTCTAACACATGACGATTTTACTTGTCAATGGGGAAGCTCTGCAGATTAATGGGTTAAAATAGCTTTGCCATCTAGCTTGGCCATTCATGATATTAATTTCTGCCCAGTGCAGTCGACTTTTGATAACTTTATATACTGTATTATTATTGATTTGATAATGTTAATAGTGTAATGTATTCAATTTTAATGCTAAGAAATTAGACTGCATTTTAATAATAGTAAATTTGTTAATGATGTATTTATAGAACTCTATTAGTTAAAACACAGTTAACTTCAAACAACCTGCTGCCGAAAGACGATTCATGTTGACAGCACGAGAGTTTTCACTATGGCTGTGTTTCACATAGTTTATACAAGCTATTAGATTTAATTAAGTTATTTATATTATTTAAACAAGGTGTACTCAATATAGTACTCATAAATTCATTGCATGTTAGCTACAGTATATATTGAGCAAATACCCAATAAAAACACAGTTAAGATCCAACTGGTTGCCCCGAAAGACACAATATCTTGGGGCTGACGGCATATTTAAGATGGCGGCATATTTTTCAGCTCCTGAAATGTGTCTTTTAAACTGACATTTTGATCGTATTTGTATGATTTTTGTTTAATAATAAGCTTGAATAATGTCTAAAACTCGAAGCTCTACTAAAGAATAGCAAGACGTAGCACAAGCTGACGAGTTAAAGGAGAAATACGCCATGGAAAAATTGCTTGAAAGTCTGCTTGATAAAAAGTTGGATCCTTTGAACGGCAAATTGGAACAGGTTCTAAATTGACATGGAACAATATTCCAGGAGAGAGTGTCTTGAAATTCACGGTGTTCCAGTAACAAATGACGAAGACACTAATGAAATAATAATGAAAATTGGTATTCTGGCCAATGTTTCTATTAAACCAGAAGACATATCAGTGAGTCACAGGCTTGGCATCCCAAGCAATGTTCCTACAGGTCGACCTGCACGTCCACCTATTATCATTGTTAAATTTGTGCGGCGAAATGTCAAAGAGGAGTTATTATCTTCCCGAAAGAATTTAAGGAATAAACTAACTACCGACTTGGGCATTTCCAGATTTGCAGGTAACAAGATTTATATAAATGAAAGCCTCAGGGGCGGATTCAGACCGTTGCAACCGTAGCATATGCTACGGTCAGATTTTCCCTGAGATATATTTTTCCAGGTTGTACCTTTTTTAAAGTTATTAAAATCTAAGACGTTATACTATTTTTAATTGCCGTTATTTTCAATTTTTCATTGAAACTTGGTGCAATTTACTAAATCATATTGATACAATTTTATCGAGCTTTTATTTCATTTTGGATAATTAAATTCGGGTTTTTCTCAAATTTCCGCCCGAAATACTGCCTGTATTTGCGAGTTTTGCACTAGTACTATATCACATCGTTCTGAAGTCGTAGCATTTGCTTCATTGTGATTGGCTTGCTTCGTCTAACCGTAGCAAACCAATCATAGCGCTGTATTTGGAAATTTTTGCAGTGGTCAGATTGAAACTGACCGTTGCAAAAATTCGCAAATATGTGATTTTCTTTCCATGCAACTATTAATTGTATATTTATAGTTTTGTATTCCATATAACTTAATTCTGTGTATATGTTATGTCTACATTATGCTTGTGCTTATATTTTGCATATATATATATAAAAATTTATTTGTCTTAAATCTCTATATAATGCCATCAATCCCCCAGCTAATTGAATATTAGTAATTTAATTCAAATGGGTTATCTGACTCGATTAACTGTATATGGTTATCTCAGAAACCCAGCACGAATTATTTTGTCTTATTGATTATTTATTAATCGTTCTAAAATAATTTTGTATATTTTTTATTTTTTATTTTTGTAAAAGCGTGCTGAATAAAGTCTTCTTCTTCTTCTGCAACCTGCTGCCAAAAGACGATTCATCTTGAAGGCACAAGAGTTTTCACCATGGCCGTGTTTCACATCGTTTATACAAGCTATTAGATTTATTAAGTTATTTATATTATTTATATTATTTATATTATTTAAACAAGGTGTACTCAATACTCATTAATTCCTTGCATGTTAGCTACAGTATATCTTTAGAACATACCCAATAAAAACACAGTTAAGATTCAACTGGTTGCCGAAAGACACAATATTAATATCTTGACAACCTGCTGCCGAAAGACGATTCATCTTGACAGCACAAGATTTTCCACTATGGCTGTGTTTCACATAGTTTATACAAGCTATTAGATTTTATTAAGTTATTTATATTTATATTATTTAAACAAAGTATACTCATTAATTCCTTGTATGTTACAGTAGCTATATAATATTATTTAGAAAATACCGGACCAATAAAAGCACAGTCATGATCCACTGAAAATACCGGACAAATAAAAACACAGACAAGATCCAACTGGTTGCCGAAAGACACAATATCTTGACAACCTGCTGCCGAAAGACGATTCATCTTGACAGCACAAGAGTTTTCACTAGGACTATGTTTCACATAATTTATACAAGTTATTAGATTTTATTAAGTTGTTCATATTATTTAAATAAGTTACTCATTAATTCCTTGCCACAACCTGTTGCCAAATTATGCAATTAATGCCCCACTTTCCCTTTGAACACTAAAGTCATCTAGCATTAGACAGAGTAAAATAACAAAGTAGAGCACATTGAGACTTAAGAGCGACTGTCCGTAAAAATCGAGCAAACAGTGGCAATAGATGAAAAATAGATTTCTTTCATATTTTGCCCAAATTTAGGTAATACCTAGTTATAAATGGTGTTTGGGTTAGATATTCAATATTTGGTCGATAAACGTACAAATATCAGAAATCAAGAATTTGTCTCCGGAAGGCTATAATTAGCCGCAGACAAAGCCGTTGCCATGGTCAATTTCATCACTTCGCGACAGATTCAAAACTGCCCGTAGATAGTTTTGATGGTTTAATGACTATAATTCAAGTATTAAAGAACAATTTTATCAATATAGAATGGCCCAGGAGGCTTTAACTGGCCTGACAGACGTTGTTGAAATTGGCTATTTTTAGTCAAATTTTACAATTGCATTTTGTCACTGGATTTGAAGGGGAAATTTACTATGTGCGATAATCGTGAATTTGTTTATATTTCATCCACGGAATGGTATAGCATGAGTACATGTTATATATAAAAACTAGCTTGGGTTATTGCCCTGGAGCCTCACGCGAAACTTTTAAAAAAGCTCATTTTGGTGATTTCCAGTGGAATGTAACACAATTAAATCATTAGGCCCATACGTCTATACCAGAGTCACGAAGCTCAAATTGTTCAAAACTTTGAATTTTGTGTTTCGATATCAATGTATATGCTTTGTATACTTTATAAAAAATCGTTTAGAAGGATTTTCAATATATTTTAGTGAAATGCCTACTTACAACAAAAGCACAAGACTGTAACGTCATTACTAGACTGTAACGTTGCTATTTATAGCAATTCGCGTGTTGTTACTGAATATATATTTAATATGTCTGCAGTCTGTAAGCTTTTGAAGTCTTATAATTTCTCATTTTTGTTTATTGCTTTCTCTGCATATGTAAACAAATAAAATTAAAGCTAGATAAATACAATAAAAGTACATAAGTTGGAACATGTATATGTTTACACTTTACGCAAGACATTTTTCTGGACTATCCTGTTACGAAACTAACAAACAGGTGACGAGTTTTACTATAGTGCGAGGCATATGATGCACGATGCGAGGCATGGAAAAAAAGTGCGAAGCATGCGAGGTAGAAGTGCGAGGCATGAAAAAAAGTGCGAGGCATGAAAAAAAGTGCGAGGCATGAAAAAAAGTGCGAGTCAGGCAGATGTGCCAGTGGGAGGCAGACACAATGACTGACTCCAAAATTTGACGATATTTAACATATTGAACATATTTAACTTGACGCTGGACAAACCGACAAATGTGAACGACATTCTAGTTTTAATATTAAAAAGTTCTGTCTGTACATTATAGTTTTAAATAACTACAGCACTCCAGTCAAAACGTCAAAAAGTAAACATTAACCTAGACAATAGCTCAACAAGTGACAAGCTTCACTAAAAATTATGGAATATTAACTATTTTGCGTTGTTCATCTGTCAATTGAAAAACTACGTTCATACAAACTCGATAAGGTTTTATAAACGAATTTCTGGGTAATTTGGAAATGCATTTAAACCAAGGGAAAGCAATGGCCCCAGGGCAGTAGAAAAAAAGGCCCGTCAGGACTCGCGGGATTGCCTCACATGCCTCGCAGCCTTCCTCGCATCAGTCGCATGCCTCGTATGCTTCGCGGGCTTGCCATTGCCTCGCTGCCTCGCAGTTTGTGTGCACCCACAGGTGACCTTCTTCTACATATGCTACAACTTGAAGAAAAAGATATATGTACATGAGCAAAATAAAAACTGTCAAAAACTCAAAATGGTTGTCAAAAACTCAAAATGGAAGCGACAAGGAGCAACTTCGATGTTTTTCCATCATTTACAAAGGATCTGCTTTAATAGCTACTGTTTTAATATTGTAGTTTACTTTTTTGTTTTTACTTAATCCCCCCCCCCCATCAATATAAAACGTAAACTTAAAAATAACACTGCTTGTTGTTTATAGACAGTCATATAATTCTATTTTATATATATATATATATATATATATATATATATATATATATATATATATATATATATATATATATATATATATATATATATACGAGCAGTGAGGCAGCTATAAATTTTATACAGTTGTTATTCAGTTGACAGCTATAGTTTTTCATGATAAAGCGCTCAACATTGGCGTTCATTTTATTTCCCAGAATCCACTAACAAACATTTTAAAATTATTTATATATTCATAGGTATATAGATTTGCTTTGTAAATATATATCGTAACATGGTCTGAAACAGACTACCTGACTGTCGCCTGAACTACCGCAAAATAAGCTTTTTTAAGAGTCTCGCGTGAGGCCCCACGGCAATAACACAAGCCAGTTTTTATATACAACATGTATCCATGCTATAGCATTCCGTGGACGAAATATAAAAAAATTCACGATTATCGCACATAGTAAATTAACCTTTCAACTTATGTACTTTTATTGTATTTACCTAGCTTTAATTCTATTAGTTTACATATGCAGAGAAAGCATTAAACAAAAATGAGAAATTATAAGACTTCAAAAGCTTACAGACTGCAGACATACAGTATTAAATATACAATCAGGCCCTGTTTACACTATACCGGATTCGCTGGTCACGACATCTTCTTTTGCCGTTACGGAGCAATGGTTTGTAGCAAATGCTTAATAGTTTGATAGAATTGTCATGTTTATTTGGGTCTCTGAGATTAAAAATCTTCACAGCCTTTCGATACCTACAAAATTTGACCCACTCCGATAGCAATCCGGTATAGTGTAAACGGGGCCTCAATAACAACACGCGAATTGCTATAAACAGCAACGTTACAGTCTAGTAATGATATGATGATTTGTTGTGCTTTTGTTGTAAGTAGGCCTATCACTAAAATATATTGAAAATCCTTCTAAACGATTCTTTATAATGTATAGCCTACAAAGCATATACATTGATATCGAAACACAAAATTCAAAGTTTTGAACAATTTGAGCTTCGTGACTCCGGTATAGACGTATGGGCTTAATGATTTAATTGTGTTAATTCCACTGAAAATCACCAAAAAATGAGCTTTTTTAAAAGTCTCGCGTGAGGCTCCGAGGCAATAACCCAAGCTAGTTTTTATATATAACATGTACTCATGCTATACCATTCCGTGGATGAAATATAAACAAATTCACGATTATCGCACATAGTAAATTTCCCCTTCAAATCCAGTGACAAAATGCAATTCTCAAATTTGACTAAAAATAGTCAATTTCAACAACGTCTGTCAGGCCAGCGTCTGTCAGGCCAGTTAAAGCCTCCTGGGCCATTCTATATTGATAAAATTGTTCTTTAATACTTGAATTATAGTCATTAAACCATCAAAACTATCTATGGGCAGTTTTGAATCTGTCGCGAAGTGATGAAATTGACCATGGCAACGGC